CACCCGCGCCATGCTGCAGCGCAAAACTTTTCTTTTTTGATGCTGGCGCCGAATGTCCCATGTACACGAGGGCTGCAAAGATGCTATCGCAGGAGGTGCAGAACAAAAGGTGTCTTCACAGTCCAACAATTATTTTGCTTCAAATCTTGCAAAGAATGAGAGGAGGAAATACCCATAAGAATAAGCAACATTTACCAGTGGCAGTACATGTTCATATGGCCATCAGTCAGACGTTGCAAGGTTTCTGCTTACAGCATGAAGGGTTGTAGTTACTTTGGTCCGTGGCGTTTATTCAGTGCAGAGACTCGGCTTTGAGCAAGTAGTGTGAATAGAGTCCACTGAACAATTGAGTGATTCTTTTTTTTTTTTAAATGACATCTGGTAATGAAGCGACTGAGCTCTTTTAGTCCAGGATACGGTTAGTCTGCCTTTCATTATTCCATGGGTGTGGGCGGGTGGGGGTATATACATGCTTTCTTATTGTAAGCCCACCTGTTGTAATGGCACATGTTTCACTACCTTATTATTACAGCTGGTCAAATTTTTGGACCCAAAATTCTTTGCAATCAAATGCAGGGTTTCAGCCAAAGCAAAGTTTGTCTCTGGAAAAGGTTTTCTTTTGAGACGGGGGGAGGAAGGGATGGAAAATAGTGATTATTTGCACAGTTTCAACATCTTGCAACTAGAAGTTGGGGGCTGGGACAGTGAGACTTTCATTCTACAAGAATGTTGCCATTTTGTCCTCTTTCTGAACCAAAACAAAGATGGAAATATCAGAATACCTGCAGGGTGGTCCCACAGAGGATGGAGCTGGGCTGTTCTCAGCGGGGGCAGATGACAGGAAAAGGAGCAATGGGCTCAAGTTGCAGCAAGGGAAGTTGAGGTTGGATATTAGGAAAGACTTTCTCACGAGGAGGGTGGTGAAGCACTGGAACAGGTTACCCAGAGGTGGTGGCATCTCCATCCTTGGAGGTGTTTAAGCCCCGGGTAGACAAAGCCTTGGCTGGGATGATGTAGTTGGGGCTGGTCCTGCTTGGAGCAGGGGTTGGACTAGATGTGACCTCCAGAGCTCCCTTCAATCCTTGTTTTCTATGAGTCTATAAGTTTCCTTTGGGACAAATATTCCAATCAGATCTTTTTATTTTTGTCAAGTTGCTCATAAGGAAATATCTCCTGGGAAATGAAACATGAGTAAAGACACCAAATGATTAGCAGAAGATATATGTGGAGCTAAGGGCCCCCTGTGCCTGGCCTCCAGCCTGGGGGTGTAATGAAAAGGTGTGGGTGTGTGGAGGTCCTAATGAACCTCCCTCTCACCTCGGGGGGAGCACTGAGGCCCAATTCTTCCACCCGAGAAGAGTATCTTCCATTCAGTTCGAGTCATTCTGCTTGTGCCCTGGAAGAGCAGGGACTGGGGTGCAGCAAGACTACATAAGCTTAACACCAAGAACAACACTAGCTTTTGCAAGTGGTGGAAGAGCAATTCGTCCCAGGTGTGCTAGCTCGCACATTGCCTCTTGGAGCTCCCCCTTGGTCCTACACTACAAGACCTCTGCCAGTGCCGGGCTGGGCCTTCACGTCCCGGCACCGCACACGGAAACACTTGGGTCAAAACACCAAGTGTGATTTGGGTGGTGGAGGGGGAAGATGAGGGAGTATCTCAAGGGAAACGCATCCTGGGGTCGTAATTGCCTGAAATGTTAGTGACACAAACTTTTCTTCTAAAACCCAGGTCCCTGCTCATTCAGCACAGCACTTAAGCATTCACGTAATTTCAAGTGTATGAGCCATCCTGCTGACTCTGCTGGAACCAGCTGCTTGCTTAAATTAAGTCGGAGGGGCCATCAGGCCAATTTAGAAAAGCATGCGAGCGCCTGCTCGAAGTCCCACTTGCTTTGATGGGGCTTAGACCCGATCTTGCACTTCAACACTTTCTTAAGTGCTAGATACATCAAAGCCTAACAATGAACCAGTGGAAAGACTACAGCGCTCTGCCCTGCCCTGTGCTGAGGACACCAAAAACAAAAATCCCACCTGGTGAAAGGAACACTGGGTGCATCCTCACGTTCATTAATGTGCTATAGGTACTGCACATTAATTTTAGTACTTGCATAACCAAGTACTAAATCTACTACACAATAGTACCAGTTACTGTGCACGATGCTGGCGCACGGCTTTTTAGTGATTTTTACTGCGCGGGAGCCTAATACTACTGCGCAGTAGCATATTCGCACATTTTTTGCCGTGACACGCTACTGCGCAGTAAGTAGTATTAGGCTACTGCACAGTTAGCATCTCATATAGATGTGCCCACCAAGTACTGTACAGAAATATCTTGCATTAATTTCTGAGATTAATTGAATGTGTGACTCTGAAGCCGACATATGTTTCTAATGATTTGAGGACTCAAACAGTTTTTATATATGGAGTTTTTTTCTCTCTTTAAAAAAAAAAAAAGTTTGCTTTGTAACCTTTAACAAAAAACTCACTTCTCTCACTGACACATGCAAAACTGGTTATGTTTAGGTTTTATTAGGGTGTGTGTGTCCACTGTCAGTTGTAACTAGCAGGAAGTGTGTAATTTGGAAGCAATTTTAATTTTTATTTATGAAATTATTAGATTCTGTGAAAAGGCTAGATGGGATTTTGCAAAGCTGCCTTAGCTGTAAACGCTTTGCTATGAGCTCAGTCTAAAGGAAAGCATTTGGCTTGGACTTTCCAAAGTTTTTTATGCATGGTTTTATGCAAGTAACTTGAATCCAAATTACACATCTTGAAATTACTTCTGTGTGCGCACTGCATTTTCATGACTGTAATGTTAGGATGTTTCTTTTGTTAGCTCATGTAAAAGTTAAAGGGCTGTTTTCTGCCAAGTTTGGAGCAGTGTAATGATTTTTGTGTGCACGGGGTTTTTTTGTATTTTAGCTGGCACTTCCATCAGCTTAAGTAGTGGAAAAGTTTGTGCCTGACACTTACCAGCTTTTGTAAGCGGGGACGGAGTTTGTGTGCGTCCTGTGTCTGCCATCCATCACCCTGGAGCTTTTCTGTATGAATGCCCACAGAAACACTTACTGCTAGCGGTGACTCAACAACTTGCCTTCCAGTCCTGTCCTCATTTCCAGCTCCCTGCCCACCCACCCTTCACAGTAGCTCACGGGAACGATCTTGCTGGGTGCATCAATTCTTGCAGTTCAACTCCCACCGCCAACTAA